CAAATCAGGTCCTCGCCCCTTATTATCCACAAACCCAATCTTCTCCAAGACAAACCCATAACATCATCCCCACGCAGCTTCAGCTAACATGACTACAGCGATAATGGCGAACACCTTGTGTTCGTTTGGGTTAAGAACTCAATTTCCGGCCAAAACCATCCGATCAGCTACACTTCCATTTACGCCCTTCATCAACACACGGAACTTGTCTCTGGGTGTTAGTTCCTCCTACTCAATCGGCGGGCTTCGTCCCCTTATCCTTAGAAAAACTTCTTCTCTTTCCACCTCCACCGGCAGAAATTCGCAGCCGCTTACGGTGGTGTGTGCCAAGGAATACAAAATGAAGACCCACAAGGTATTCATTTTTCTTATTTTTATTTTTTTATTTTTGGTAATTTCAGTGTTCGTATTTATTTGGGTCTTTTTGTTTCTGACACTTTGCTGTGTTTGAGTGGGAAATTTTAGGCTTCCGCCAAGCGATTTAGGGTTACGGGGAGTGGGAAGATAATGAGGAGAAGAGCAGGAAAACAACACTTGCTCAGAAAGAAGAACACTAAGAGGAGATTGAGACTCTCTAAAACGGTTTTACTATATTTTTTTTTCTAGTTTTGTTCTTCTTTTTTCCGGCAAATTTCTGTTGGTTTTTCTGCTCTATCGCTTTAATGTGATTGCTTGTTTTCACCATTATTTTCTCGTACTAATTTCATTGTGCCTCTGATTGTTCACCCCCTTGCAATCCTTATCGGTGATGAACTTAGAAATATGCGGAAGATTGATGAAAGTGAAAATGGGCTTTCGTTGGATTAGAATTTTACGTAGCGTTTTTCTTATTGAGAAATGTAGCTAGAATGAGAGTGAGCTATTTCGATCATTGGCGCGGTTATTGTATAGCGTCTCAAAGTATCATGTAAAGGGCCGGAAGATTTTTAGTTCATCCTGTCAGTTGAATATTTAGGATGACCATAAAAGTTAGTAAGGATAGTATTTGAACTATTTCTAGCTGGGATAAATTGGTTGTTTGTTTTTACTAAGAGCCTTGATAACTTTCTACTTAAGTTACCGAAAAGGAACTCGTAAATCTTTGAGATTCTACAAATTAATGAAGTTTAGAGCTGAGAACATCTGAAGTGGAGAGCTCTATGCTCGGTTATTTTAGTCGAAACATAAGAATGTTGTATGAGTAATTCTCAGAAAAGATACCGAGGTAGTTGTATTGGATGAGTTGTTGCTGGTGTAAAATTTCAATTTGGCTCTTAAGAAGAGGAAGAGCGCTCCGTTTGTCCCCTAGAGAAATTCGAAATCCCTGATTTCATTTTAGCTTCAGCTTACGTGTTCTTTTAATATTTTTATGTTGGGAATATTTTCTTGGAATAGGTAATGAAATATGTTTCCAAACATGGTGTGTGTTCCACATCTGCACATATGTAATTCAGTGGTGGCTTTGATCTCATTGACTGCTAAAATTTAATACTTCATAAAGGAATTTATTTTAATTTTAGAAATTTATGAAGTTGGAACATTATTACATTATAAATGTCATGCTATATTGTTCAAAGGTATAAGCTCTGTTTATTTTCTGTTGAAATCATTCCTTACATGAAACTTTACTGGCGGTGAAAACGAAAAGGCCATATAAATGAAAGAGGAATAAATTTGACAAAAAGTTCCTTTTTTTGTCTCTTGCTAATATTATGTTTTAATATATTGGTTTTTAATATATTGCAAAAGGATGATGGAACCCACAATTTCCAAACTGTTCGCAGTCCACTGCCTAGTCTCCGTTTTTTTTCCACCTCAAAGTCGATCACCTCGTCCTAAGTTATAACTGTGTTTGTTTGTTATTTACAGGTGCAAGTTGATCGTAGTGACTACAACAATGTCATAGGTGCCTTGCCATACTTGAAAGTGAACCGGTCGAACTAAACCTGATGCATGGTTGTTTAATTATTGTGTAGAGCTTGTTGTTTTCGTTGCAAACTGTTGTTTTAAATTTCACCTTTTCTATGAGATTGATTTAGCCCTCAACTTGAGTGATCTTTATTCATGTAGCCTTTTATATTATTTTGCCTGGAAGAGGTTAATCTGTTATGAGCACTACCCTTTAGCTGCTTCAGCTTGATTATCTGTTAAGAGACAAGTCTCTTATTCTGCAGAGTTTGATTGCACAACAGAGATTACTCGGCCTAACTTACTCTATGGTTGTGAAGTGTGAACTCTTCTAATGACCATAAAAGACGAGGCATTTTGTTTTACTAGTAAAAGTGCACGTGCGATGCACGATCTATATTGTTTATGATATGGAACTAAAACGAAGAGATGAGCTCTGCTTGTTTTTCATTATTGTTGAAATTTCATCTCAGAAAGACCTTCGCCAGTTTTCACATCAACAATTTTAAGGTTTATGAATTTTTGGAATGGTGTTGGTATTTTAGGGTTTTAGGAGATGACATTGAATAATTCAAATGAGGGTTTTTTTCGAATTTAAGAGTGCAAGATTGAGAGTCTTTTTTTTTTTCTTTTAATTTGAATTATATATTCCAGCGTGGACATACATATACATGTTGGTTCCGCCATTGCCACATAAACATTCTGTCACCAGAAACGTAAATTATGATTCGATTTGCAAAGATGTGAACTGTAGTATATTAAACTGCTAAATTCAAAAGTTGATGATTAAATTATATAAACTAGTCGAGCCCGTGCGATGCACGAGATGATATATTATTCTGAAAGTTTTTTAATATTGAATATTAAATGTGGACGTAGTATATATATGTAGCGATGATATATTATTCTGAAAGTTTTTTAATATTGAATATTAAATGTGGACGTAGTATATATATGTAGCAAATGTAAACGGGTCAGACAAATTAAAAAATTCATAAATTATTTAATACTTTTTTGTGCACTATTTTTTTATTGGGTTTGGTGGTGAGCCATTTCTTGTCACCACATACTAATATTAGTGAAGGGCATTTGTTGAACTACTCAATCTAATTGTCATTTGTCATTTACTAACAGTTGATCCAGTACGAAAATCGAAATTCATTGTACCTATATAAGTAAGGTCCAAATATCAGTATTCCAAGATTATTTCAAATCAATTTAGAAAAATAATATGTAAAAAAACTACAAAATTAATAACATTGTTAATAAAAACAACAAACTAACTATCATATATTAATTAAACAAATATTAATTAAGAATGAAAATATAACTTGTATAAAAAACTACCAATTTAATTTATAGTATTAAAAACATAAAAATCATATAATAACATATTATGCAACATATATATGCAAAGCATCACAATTAAATAAAATATCGGACCAAATAAACAAATACATAATTGCTCCAAAAAATCAGTCGAATAATACAAATAATGCAGCTCAAATCTTATTGAAATTTTTTTTTTTGCCATTTACATTAATGACCCGACCCATTTTTTTTATTAACTAAAATGGGCCCATTAAAATCAACCCAAATATACTAAAATTTGGGAACCAAATATATCCACCCCGAATTAGCTTCAACGCTTTAATTATTTAAGCCCATATTAAAGATTGAAAAAAAAAATGCAAGAGAGATGTGGTTGATGATTTGTGTAGTTGACTACTTACATAGATGTGGCAAATTATTTGTGATCTTTCCATTTGCTCCGATTTAATTTGAGATAGGATAATAATGAATCTTTCAAATGAGATATATATTTCTTTGTTCTTGGATTTTTGAAACATAAAATGAGAAATATTCGATTCTTTTAACAATTGTTTTTAATATTGCAATTGGAATATAAAAAAAACTGTAAAAATGATATTTTTTTTTTTTTTTGTTATAGGTGAATGTTCCCTAGAAGTTTGGTAATAATATATTAGCTTTTTTATTATCCGATTGAGTAAAATCGGATGGCATGTGAAATTGAAATTCTACTACCTGCGATTTATTTATTTATATGTTTTTAGGCAATAAATTAGGTAATTTTTAATTTGATTGATGTAGATTTATATTTAGCAGTCGTTCATATGTTTATTTAAGTAAATAAGTTGTTATTTATTAGTATGTAAATTCGAATAATAAATTTATAATTGGTAAAATAATATGTTAATCAAAATTCCAGAACATTTGTGTTACAAAATTATATTTCAAATCAATTATATAATTGTTAGTAATTATTAATTTGGATAATTTTTTATAAGCAACTGTTTTTTTTTCCAACGACAATAAGCAATATCATTAAAACAAACAAGTGTGTATCCCGTGCGATGCACGGGTAAACAATATTAAATAATAATTATAAATAAGTATTGAGTTTAATGCAAGTGTGAGCGTCCTGGTCCGGTTTGGAGTAGATCGATTATTTTCCTCACCGGTAGAACGCCGAAAACCTGCAAACAACTCTCACACCGGGGGTTGTGTCCGGTGAAGAGCCTCCAATGCTTAAGTCAGTATGTGTATGAGTATACTTGAATTGAGTAATGGAGAAATCGTGTCTTAGGAAGAAAGGCTCACCCCTTTATATAGGAGTGAAATACCTGACCTACGGCTGCCCGGATTTGATGAGCTGACTGCCCAAGCTGTCGTCCGTACTCTAACATGCCGCACACATGTCAGAGGTGGCACGGGACGTTGGGAGCTGTCAGAGGTGGTTGTCGCTATCAACCAATAAGTTCTTGACACGTGTCCTCCTGCACATGGGATGAATATTCTCCTGAAATTCCGTTAGAGGCTCTTTGACGCGCCTGTGACTAGGCCGATCCATAGAGTGTTAAGTCCACGAGGTGATCGACCTGTTGAGGTCGACTAAGTTGCTCGATCGCTTATCTGGTCGAGTGACGGATTGGTCGACTGTTTGGCTGGTCGACTGATCGATCTTTCTGCCACTTGGCACGACTCTTTTATGGTACGGCCTCTTCGACCGGTTCAGCAGACCGGTTTAGCCTGGTAGGTATAATATCCTATATCATCTAGTCTCCCCCACTCTGGTCGAGTCTGAATGACTCGATCTAAGAGTGAATTTTTGCTCGTCGCTCTCCTAGGTTGCATCATATTCGGTATCGACCATCTGACGAATTTCCCGCTCATTTTTCAATTAATTCTTCATTAATTGCTAGAGATAAAGTCGTCTGTCACACGTCCTTTCTGCCGCGCCTGCCTTTCTGCCACTTGTCTCATCTGTTGCGCCTGTCAGGTACTTTTATCATTGCGTCTCCTCGTGTCTCACAATATCTCAAATCCCGCATTCATTAATTATTCAACCGTTCGATTTCATCTTTTATCCGATGATCCTCCTTCTTCCACTCATCTAACCTTCATATAAAATAAACACTTAGAGAATTTTCAGACTTTTTCCACCTTTGCAATTTTCGAACTCCTTGTGCTCTGAAATCTTTCTCCACCCTTGCTCTTCTTCTCGACGATTCTTCCTGCACCTTTCCGGCTTTTTCAATTTCTTCATCTGCGACTATGAGTAAGTTTTTCCTCGCTTGAATTTATGTTTCTTGTGTCTTGGACTTGACTTTGCGTTTTTGAATTTTTTGAATTGGTTGGGTATCTCGAATTTTACTGACTGGGTGTTCTGAATTTGCTCTCTGGATATTGTTATTTGTTTGTTGGTCGTTGTGAATTTTGCTTTTCCTCCGCGATTTTTTGAATTTTCTGTTCTTCCCCCTTTTCAATTTTTCTGAATTGCTTTTCCCAAAAAACCCTAGCTTTGAAAACCTTCTCCTCTCCCCTTTTTCTTATCGTCGAAATTCCCCTTTTTGATATTGTTCTTTTTTGTTTTTCAGATTCTGCTACTTCAACCACCTCCTCTGATTCGGTTCAAATATTGCCTTCTACACTCGAAGCTGTTCCTCTCTCTAACCTTCGCCCCAGCGATACTGTTCCCAACATCGTTTTCACAGCCTGCATTTCTCCTCTTAACTCCGGAGATACCATGGATAACATTCCCCTCCGCCTTCGTCGACCTGCTTTTGGCTCATTAGATGAGCCAGAGGAGGACGAGGTCATCTCTTCTCAACCTACCTTCCCTACATCCTCGACCATTCCTCCTTCTTCCGCTCAACCTGGTACTTCGAATTCTCCTCCCAAAAAGTCCTCGACCAAGAACCTTTCTAAAGCCTCCACAAAGCGCCAATCTTCTACTTCATTCTCTAGCATCTGGCTAGATCCCGAGAAAATCGGCCAACCTTGTGGTTGGGCCTTCTATATCCCCTCTTCCTCCGATAAATATGACCATCCCCCCAGCAACTGCTACACCTTCTTCAAAATCCAATTCAAGCTTGGACTTCGCTTCCCTTTAAGCCCTGAGCTGCTCTAGATTTGTGAGTGGTTCGGGCTTCCTCTACACCAACTTCCTCCTAATGCCATCCGTTTCATGACCACTTTCACAATCCTCTGCCATATCTGCCTGGGTCTCTTCGACCTCGCTTTCTTCCATTACTGTTATGACCCTTCCAAACAAGGCCGAGGCCTTTACCTAAAAAGCCGAAACGGCGTCCATTTCATCAACGATATTCCTACCGACATTCCTAAGTGGATTGATAGGTTTATTTTTGTCGAGCCCAGTGCTCCTTTTCCTTGGCCCTCTATCCCTTGGGTCAAGGAACTTCCACAAGAGAATTCTACCCCTCCTCCTCCTCCTAATACTCTTTTCGACCAACGGGTTCATTCTTGGAACACGAAGCCCGTTAAGTCAGAAAAGCTCCTTAAAGATGAGAGCCTCCTCCATTATTGCGGCCTCCTCACTCACAAAACTTGTCCTCCCCCCATCGAGAAGATCTCTGATCTTATTCGGATTAAGGATGATCCAGGTAATCTTCGACCAGCTTGCTCGAGCGGTCTCTTTGCTGCTTTAATTAATGTGAGTTTCATTGATATCGACCATAATTTCCTGTTATCTTCTTGCAGAGGCTCCCAGTTTC